CCATCTTGGTAGTCCTGAATCTGATGGCTCCCAAGCTGATGCAAAAATACCTGGAGCGCTGATGTGATGGCACCCACCTGTCACTTAAAGCGACCAATCCCTTAATTATACATAACTTTAAGCCTTAATATAATGTAAACAGGTGATTTATATAAGTATTAACCCCCTGCACAGTTATAGCTGAGTTTAGCTTTAGAGACTTAAACTTCCTGTTGTACCAGGCTGTAAAATGTTTATTTCTAATGTAAAGTTAATATGGATCCTTATGGAGATTGACTCTCTTCTGTAGCCTCAAGTGGCTGTTGGAGGAACTGCACTTGGTTCAGACATTAATGTGAACTATGATAACTTTGGTGATCTTTTAATGTTTCATCTATCTTTAAATTATCCAACACTTGCACAAAGTAATGACATTCCCATCAGCCTCAGCTGTAGGCCGACTCTGTATTTAGTGCTAATTAGCAAATGTTCGCACGCTTAAAGGACCAGTGTGGAGGATTTAGTGGCCTCTAGTTTCAGATTGCGACTACATGAACATCTATGTCGTCCGTATTTGACGACCTAGGAATGAAAACGGGCTGTGAAGAGTGTAGGAGGAACTTCTCAAGGGTCCTTTCTACAACCAGTGTTTGGTTTGTCCATTCTGGGCTACTGTAGAAACACGATGGACTCCATGCAAGGCAGGCCTGTAGATGCGTTTGTAGATATAAACAGCTCATTGTACGGTAACAAAAACACTACAATTCATAGATTCAAGTGATTATACACTGAGGAAAACATACTTCCTAATATTATAGTCTCCTAAATGTTACACACTGGCCCTTTAACTGAGACAGTGAACATGATAATAAAAGTTACACCTGCTAAACATTGTTATCATCGTCACTGTGAGCCTGTAATCTTGTTTTATATTTATCTCCACACTGTATGAAGTTCTATCTATTTTACCAATAAATTATTTTAGTGTCCTGGGTTTATTTCACTGTTAGCCTGACTTGTCTCATCTAAGAGTCACCAAATGTTGCCCAAGCTCTCTGAGAACTGATTACCGCTATGAGATGGAAGTGGCATAAAGCCCATTTGTGATGTACTGATAATATTCAACAAACCCCAACCATCGTGTTGAAACCTGCTACCACCATATTTCGGCTTGTTAGATGGAAAGAAAAGATTGTAGGGTCCTTTAAAGGCAACAGCCTTCGCCCATAGATAATCATAACAGCATGACCCTCACATTCACTATTTTACTACAAAGAGTGACTTATGATCCCCGCTGGAGCTCGTATCAGGAAACAGATCAACAAACAAAAAGGTGCTGCACATTCAGAGTTATTTTAAGCTCATCATTTTTTCTGAAGAGATTTCTGATCAGCTGGAACTCTCTCTTTCTTTTTTCCCCCTTTTCCCTTAAAGTTTGTTCAGCTTCCCCCTCACTCGCTCTGTAGGTCTGCATACCTAACCGGCAGGAATGCGATTGTGCTGCAGCTGAGGAGCCCGTCAGACTTGTGGTGACAAGCACACAGTTGATTGCATCACATCCGAGTGAGTTATCTGAGTGAGTCTGAGGGTGTGTTTGTGAGTTTTTTTCTTTTTTTCTTCCCTTCCATTTAACATGTTAAGTCAGATCAGGAAGTGTGATGCTGTGACAGTAGAGAAGGAAGCGGGCACACAATGGCACTATGTCTGCCTCTTGGTCTGGTAGCATGAGAGGCCCCCGGGTGAAGACCCCTCTTCTGCTTCTGTTGTTGCTGCTGCTGAGCGCTCTGACTCAGACAGGTAGGACTTTCTTTCCTTTTTTAACTCTCTGAATTAAGACCCACTTTCCTGCCTCCTCCCTGCTTTCTCTTGTGTGCTTTAGTTAAACCTTTCTGACTCTGTGACTGCGAGTGTTCAACTTCTAGGCTGGAAGTAAAAAAAAAAAGGGTGTTCATTACTGATACTGTTTAACTTGAATATACTGAACAGCATATAGAGCTGATAGATTAAATAGGATAGCTTAAGGACCCAAAGTACTAAAATAGTGTGTTCCAGTTTGGCTTTATCTTACTACAATATGCTTTTTTTTTGTTTAGAAACCTAACACTTCCTGAATTTCAAAATATACTGCTCACTGAGATGTATAAATCCTCTTTAGAACTTATATATTATAGTCTATTACTGGAAATCTTGAGCAACAGAAAAACTCTGCTCACAAAGTCAAATCTTGTTCAACGTGACAAAGCCTGCCGGGAACAAATTGCTCAACGCGTCGAGTATCTCAACCTCCTCCTCGCCATCCAGAAGGTGAATTTAGCAACAGTTTGTATTTTATTTTGTAACAGAAACTTGAAATCATGTTCACGGAAGTCTGAAGTTCCTGTATGGTCTGACAGTTAATCCCTGCAGAAATAACTGTTCACTTGTGTTGTTTCACTTTTAATGTGAATGCTGCACGTGTTTCCTTTGACTTTACACTTCAGTGATATTAAGTGCAACAATGTAAAGTAATGAGAGGTGTTTGAATTTGCAGTGTTATGCCAAGATGAAGATGCGAGTCCAGTGCCAGAAGTTGGGGAAGAAGAAGTCCAAGAAGACGGTGCAGTCCCAGAGGAAGGCGCAGAGGAGACAGGTGAGACGTGAGAAATAAAATAAATTACAGAGATTATTATTCCACATGTGGCCAAAAGTATGTGGACAGATGCTCGTGTACTGGGGCTGTTTTTCAGATCTTTATCTGTTTATTTCTTTTTTTGTTTTTTTCCCCAAAAGTAGTTTAATTTAAAGTATCTTGAGTCCAAACATGTAAAATGCCCACTACATTGGCAGTGGTGGAAAGTAACTGTAGAGTTTTCAGCTCCTTTATACTTTGACTTTATTAAATTTCAGAGGAAATATTAAACTTTTTACTCCACTACATTTATTTTACAGTTACTAGATACTTTTCAGAGTAACAATTTACATAAAAAAACATGTGAGCTTATAAAATACAGGGAACTGTTGAAGATTAAATTAGTGGTTTAGTAGTAGGTGTGTCTGACATTTAGGTGTCACATAAACAATTTAGTTTAATTTAGTTTTTCAAGAAAAACACAAATCTGTGTAGCAAAGTGGTTTTTTCTTCTTTCTTCTCCCACTAATCATCTCACAACCCCTCAAATTTATCTCCTAAGTCCTTTAAAGGGGCCTGACCCATTGGTTGGGAACCACAGCACTAAACTTCCAGACTGTAAATAAAAGAGGTAATTTAAAAAGTAGCTCCACCATGAGCTGGCTACAACACTTCTCTCTATTGATGCATCCGTATTAACAATCTAATGTCAAATGTAATAATATATCAGTTTCTACCAGGGTTGCTATGAGACAGGAAACAACTTTAAAGTGCTTGTTTGGATTTACCGAGCAATAAAGAGGATCTTAAAAGTGTTTTGATTTAGCCCATCTGGAGTGGTGGCCAGAGGCTTTTTTTAAAATATTTTTTTTCATATTCATCATATGAAGCATTTTATTTGGAACATTAAAAACTTTTTACCATTATCAATTGTTTTCTACTGATAAAAGACATCACTACATTTGCATAATTGAATATGTTTTCAATATAAAGGATTAATGAATTATTTCCCCACCTATTCCCTGGTGGCATCTAACCTTATTTCTACTGTCATCTAATTAAAGTAAGTCTTTGTCTGGTACTGTGATGGGTTAGACTGATATATGTGAGTTATTCACCCTTCCTTTTCAAATAATTTGTTGTTGAAAAGTGCTTAAAATCATTACAAAAAAGCAACTTAAGTAATATTTTATAATGCAGTATTTTAAATCAATGTACTGGTACTTTTACTGGTACTGTCATTTATTCCTTTTATGAGACAAACTTGGTTAACCTTTGATTTTGGTAACTCTGTCTCTGTGAGGGACACCATTTGCTCCACAGTCTGGTTTAAAAAGTGTCATATAGGTTTATTTATTTTATGCCTGCACCTTGAAACACTTCGCATAAGCTGTCAAAACAGCTCATTATATGTCCGTGGTTTTGTAGTGAGATGATCAACAGTCACATACGGGTGCAATGTTTGTATGTCCACATACTTTTGGCCATGTACATTGAATGGGTCACTCACTGTGGACATTGGGGCATTGTGATGAACTTTACTCTCTGTTCAGAACCAGAACCAGAACCAGACCCAGAACCAGAACCAGAACCAGAACCAGACTGTGAACCAGAACCAGACCTAGAGGTTGTTCCTAAAATCACTACAGACGAGGACGTTACAGGTCAGTCCACTACACAGTTTATTCTTCACGGTGCTGAAAAACCTCTTTTGAAGAGTTTATTCTTCAGCATTTTATATCTTATCAAAAGTAAATTGTATAATTATTTTGTTTCCAGATGAAAAGACCACAGAAGAAGATAATGGCTCAGGAGACACCCAGGACACTGGTGGTACGTTTGACCAACCACGACCTAACATCACAGAAGTCATGTATTACTTAATCATTAAACCACCATAACTGTCTCCTAACCGCTCCAGAAACAGAAAATGACCCCAATATGACCAACACACAAGAAGACGAGGGTTTGAGCTTAATCATCATCCTGATCCCTGTGGTGCTGGTGGTGCTAATCATCGGCATGATAGTGTGCGCCATTTTCATCAACCGCAGGTGGAACAAAAAAGGAAGAAATCAAGGTATGTCCGTCACAGGAGGCAAACACTTTAAAGGGTCAGTTACGAATACAGAAACAGAAAAAAACTTCCCAACTTAAACAAAAATAAAATTGTAGTGGTGACAAGTACAGTAAAAAAGTAAAAGCAGGGTCCCAGTTAGATCCCATTTACTGGCCTGGTGTGGCTAGGCAGATAAATGCAGGTTTCAATTAGAGGCCTGGTCTGGATTCTATAGAAATTCTCTGGATGTATTCAACCTTTTAAAGCCCACCAGGTTATCGTCTGGATCACCTTTTGTCAATATCGACATAAACATCAGTCCCTCAGTTAATTTTACAGAAACCATCAGCATCAAAGTGTCAAGTGATCATATTAATGATGATTTGTAAACGATAGCTTTGATAGTTATTAAGAAGCTTAATTTCTATGTTATATTCCATTACAATACTGGTTTAATTAAACAATTTGATAGCATTATCCATCTTTGCTGAGCAAGAGTTTTATGTAAAAGAAATTAGCCTGTTCCAAATAAAAGCCTTGGCTATTAATTGAATTTGTGCGGTAATATTAAAATCATCATAATGAAAAAATACCTCTCTTTTTTTAGACTTTATTTAATCCTTGTTTGGATCTTTTAAGTTAAAGATAAACTACTGCAATCTGCAATTTTGTCATAATAAAAATGACTAAGCCATGTTCTCTTCTCATAGAGCTGAGACAGGAGGATCCATATCTGGATGGGTCCAGTACAGAGAAGGTGCCAATGTAAGTATCGAGAATGAGTTGTTTCTTTGTTAAACAGATGCTAAGTTAAAGGACACGAAGCGTGTAAAATTAGACCTATTTTAATGTCAAATGCAGAGTCGGTGTTTATGCTCAAAGTGTAATTTCCTGTTTAAAAAACAGTGCAAAGGATGCTAGAGTTTCATATTCATACAAGAGTCATATCTTGTGGTTTGCCATCATGCTCCAGCAGTATTTGCTTCACTATTAAAAACTCGAGCTGAAGACAGTATAGTCGCCTTTGAAGTCTTCACTGGAAGCAGCTGTGAAACTGTGAACACATTGTTGTATAAAACGCAACAAATTCACTGAGATTACAAATCCGTAACAACAACATACCATAAAGAGTTAGACAATTAATTTAAACAAAACTGTCAATTGTCTTGTATACCAATACGAAACAGTGGGAAGTATAAAGTAGCCTACAAAGACTTAGTTACTGTACCTAAGTATTTTTTTCAAGTTTCTGTACTTTACTTTCTGACAACCTTTTACTTTTACTCCATACAGTTGTACAGAAATATCAGTACTTTCTACTCCTTACAAAACCGGCTTGTTACTTTAGTTTGAATGAATTTGAGGGGAATTATCTATTTTCGCATGCTTCCCAACATCAACACTGATTCATGCAAAGTATGCTTTTATACTTTGAGTACATTTCAGAGCCTGTACTTTCTCACTTTTACTTGAGTTAAGAAATTGAAGAGTCTTTTTAAGCATCTGTTCTTCTACTTCAGTAAAAACATGTGTATTTTTGCCACCTCAGACTATAACAAGTGACATGACAGCATTAGATCATCATAGGAAGTTGCCTAATATAGTGAACACGAACACAAAAAAGAAAACAAATCAACAATCAGATAACTACAAAGAGATACCAACGAATAACACTCAAACAAGGACATTTGGGGAGTAGCAGAAGAGTAAAAAGGTTTGTTGAGTAGGCTTGTTTGGTCAGAGAACTGAGTTGAACATTCTGTTGCTATAGAACCTGTTATATTTTTGTGTGTGTTTGTCTTATTTGATTTTCTAAACACTTTGTACCCTCCAGGCCCATGTTTGAAGAAGACGTGCCCTCTGTACTGGAGCTAGAAATGGAAGAGTTGGACCAGTGGATGAAAAAGGATGGTAGGTAGTTTTTAAATAAAGATACATGTAATGGGGCCTAAAGTGCCTTAAAGCTGCAGTAACGTTAGGTAGATTTTTAGAAAAATAACTTATTAAATCATATTTGCTGAAACTTTCCCGATATCCTGACAGTAGTACATAGGACGGGTCATCTTCTGATACCATTAGTCTAATATATAATGAAAGTTTCAGTTAAAGTTATCTCCTGCAGCTTTAATTTATGCCTGTAAGTGGCCTGTCCAGCAAAGGACAAATGCCTATGTGACATGTAACGTTAAGTCTACTCTTGCATATTTACCTCGCCCAAAAAATGAGCCAGTAGTGTTTGCACAATGTCACTTAGCTAACTGCTTGACTTCAGGAAGTTAGGATCATTGTGAAATTAACATTAAGCACAAAACAACTACATAATTTTTTTGAGTATTTCTTATTTAGTCAGATTACTATGTCATGCTTTCACAAAGAAATTAATTTAGCTTGCAGATCATATGTGGGTGTAGTCCGTATACCTGCTTATACGCTGGACTGCAACATACTAGAAGATATAAGATATGTAACATAAAAATATCACAGTGAATGTTGCTACTGAGAAATGTTACAAACCCTAGCGGGCATTCATTACCCACGTCGAGTTGGATTACACACTTTGAATGTGGTTGTCTGCTGTGAATGTTACTGAAATGGGCCACACTGACCAAAGAATATCTCTCATAGCTCGTTCATTGTTGATCAATGTCTGCATCAGACTGTCACAGTTAATTCTGTTATTTGCTTTTTTTTCCTCATTTATCTTTTTTTAAAATTATTATTCTTTTATGTGTATTTGGAAGCGAAACAGTGACGGCTGGTTGGACTCTGTTATAATTATTGTTGTAAAGATGTTCCCCATTGTTCTATTTGTTCATACGAGACTGCTAAATGACATCCTTTGTGACTAATTGTCTGTTCTGAGATGAAAACCAGAAATGAAGCATCAAAAATTGGAAAACGGGAACATTTCCAACAGTAAGAAGTATATGGGGGAGTTTATCCAGCAGAGGTCACTGTTACTCTAATTGTTAAGAATGAGCCTGAAACCGTCTAGTCAGTTTATCTCATACTGTATATTTCTTAGTACTTTACTCCTTATGAAAATTTGTTTGTAATATATAAGTAAGCGAATATAAGTAATCTCATAAGTTTTTATATTGTATTCTTTGGTCTAGGTGAGACAACAGAGGACACCAAACATGAATAAATCTATTTATGGTGAGCAATACTTTACACTTATTAAATTTAACTCCAGTTTATGAGCACATATAGATTTTATTCAGTTTCTTGTCACACATCCCTCATGATCACACATCTCTTTTAAAACCTTTTAGTAATAAAATGTGCGATTCCTTTAATTCCTCAACTCTAAAATTTTGTTTTCTGATATCAAAAACAAATATAAATGCATAAAATAAAGTGCACAAGTATACCTTAGCTTCACTCTTTGTTAATATATTCTCTCCTGCTCCTCTGTGAACCTGAACCAGTTTGTTTGGCACCGATGACTAAATGATAACAGCCACCGTGTCACAGTCAGTAGCAATGTGTCACAGTGTGAGCAATTAATCATTAAGCAACGTTCCTAAAAGTGTGAATACAATCTAATGATCTATCTCATTGGGAATACACTCAAAATAATAATGTCATTATCTATTTGCCTCAAAATATTCGTAATATACACAATAAAGCAATAAAGCTAACACAACAGAGACTAACAGTGTCCTTTTTTCTGCCAGCCTCTGTTTGTTTTGATGCACCAGCTGGTTTCAGTATAGCTGTGACTGATGAACTGTGACCCTTTCGTCATTACACATGGTACTGTTTGAAAGCACAAACACTCCTAACATCTGTTAGTGATTACAACAGGCATGCATGGAAGTGTGGTGCAACTTAACCCTGGGATAGTCTCCTTACTGGAAGGACTGGATAGGCGAGGTCAAGGTCCACTATGAACTGTTGACCAACGCCATTTACACACTGCTTTTTCTCAGGATTGCGTTTCCAACACTGTGCATGGGTTAGAGGGTACTTTCATTCAACAGAGAGCGCTCTGTACACATTGGGTTACACAAGAGAACTCAAAACAGAAGTAAATGTAATGTTACTGCCGCTGTGGTTGCACAATGTGATGCCATCGACTGCAGCAGCTGTGCCCTGTTTAACAGACCTGTGAAATTCCACAGTAACTTAAACACAATAGTGGATCTAATTAAAGAATTAAAGCGCACACACAGTGTTGTTGAAACTGCTTCAAAAGTGAGTTTTGCAACCCAGCAGTTACTTTGCATTGGAAGAAGTTGGTAGACATACTCTCAAAAAAAACAAATGGTTTGTTAAAGCTCTTAGGAAAAATGTGTTCACGCCAGATTTAAGGAAAATAACAAAATGGCACTGTACAGCAGGGATGGAAATAAGTCGAAAGACAGCAAAAAACCCACTTTAAACTGGGTTTATTGAAAAAATGTTGTGTTCAAACTGCATTAATTGATTTTTTTGGCCACTTAGGAGCAGCACAATGAGCTGTACTGACATGGTATAACCTTATGCTGTGCTTTCATTTGGAGTTGTGTTTCTGATTACATGATAAATCCAATATTAACTCTCCTTTAAGCTGGTCTCTACTAACTTTCTGCTAAATGTGCCACTATGTTCTCTAGCATTTAGTGCTGGGCGAGTAATGTGCAGTGGATTTATTCTGGCTGCTGTCAGCTGCAGCTAAAAAACAAGGTTGACAAAAGTAGCTGTGGGGAACTGCAGAGTCAGGCGATAATTCTTTGTGTGTTTGTTGAGTGAACTTTTATACTTAACACATAATAATTCAACCCATTGCTCATATAAATAATATTGATTAGTGCAGCTTTAAGTGTTTAGTCTACCAGCAAAACAAAATGTAGCTCAATATCCACAGGAAAGCAGGATCAATATCTCTGTCCATCTTTAGAAAGTAGAGAGGAAACACTACAATTTTTAAAATCATTCAAATATCTTTTTAATAAATAAACGTTTTCAAGACTTAATACTATTTAACATGACAAATAATGATGTCCAGTGTTAAAGGTACATCAGATCACAGCCAAGTATATGTCACAGATGAGCCGGCCAACACCCTATCCATGATTTGTGCCTGAAGCGTAAAGTTGTGTTGTGTTTCGTTCTGCTGCTGGAGCTTGTTCAGGTCACGGGTTTGTGATGTCCATGGCGATTCTTCCTTGATGCTGTGTGACCAACACCCTTTTTATTTGTGTGGAGGCTGATGACGCCAGTAGTACTGCTATGGATCAACTGTACAGTCAGTAAGAGTGAGAGGAATCGACTGGACATGCCTTTTGGGAGAAAGTTCCCCTCTAACGGTGACTTCATCTCCAGGACGTTCTTATCTTCTATCTCTCTGAACTCTGCCTCACTTTACACAGGTTTTGGACCAACCAGAACCTGTTTTCTTTTACCTTAAAGACTCCTCCTCTGGTGTGAAGTTTAAACGAGAGAGTTTGGGAATATGTTTCCTTGTTGTAATTTCAGTTTCCTTATCGTTTGCTGTTGAAGAGTGAAGAGGTTGTTTCAGCCTCTCAGATGCCTGTTAATACATTGTCATGTTATTTCTGTGTTGTTGCCACTACATTGCACTTGTAATATGCATATTTATTATGAGTTAAGCATTGAAGTTTGCATGTTTTCATTCGAGCACTGTTTATATTTATGAAGGTATTTATATGTTTATTTCTATTTAATTATGTTAAATTTGTACAGAACCACTGATTCAGTGAGAGTTGTGAAGTTGCACTGTGGACTCATGTCACCACAGTTCAGAGATTAGTAAGGAATGACCTCTCTCTCTCTCTCTCTCTCTCTCTCTCTCTCTCTGTCTCTGATTTCTTTACTGCAGGTTAACAAAGGACTCTCTCCCAGTATGCAAAGACACACAGTCTTTAATGCACTGTTGCCAACTTGGATGTTCTGAACTTCCGGCAACATTTGTGACCACAGGAACGAATTCGACTGCCAGGAAATAACACTGAGACACTTAAAGGACACTTATAAACATTTTTTTCATTCTTACAGCAAAACGATCCGCAAGTAAAGTCTTCAGTGGACATCAATGTGCAAAGATTGGGTCAAAACTTGTTAAATTGTGGCTCTTTTGTTAGGAGAGTAATCAGTGTTGTGCTTTCACATATTGTTTCTGTCACGCTTTGCCTATTTTGATTGTATTGTTTGTTTTACTGTCAAGCAGTAATCAGTTATGTGAGGTAAATGTGCAGTATTTTTTGTCTCAATAATCAGCCAGAGTGAAAAGTATTAAGTTTAAACCTAAAAAAAACCCACAGACATTTCATTTTTGGCAGATTCACTCCATTAAAGAGTATGTGAACACGTTAAAGCACATTAGGCCAAAACTCTTCTCCACCCCTCACAGATATGACTGCTCATAGTTTCTACTGAAGGCTTCTCTTCAGCTCAAAGCCTCTTTGTTACACTATGTGACTCCCTGCAGCTACAGGTCTTAATAGGGAAATATCCTGTTGAAGATTGTAGGCATGCATGACAAAGAGGGCCACTCCTTCTGTGCAGAGGAGAAAGTGTTTTTTATTCAGAAACTGAAATAAGTGTGAAATCAGATGGAGTCTATTTCTGAGTGTATTTCTGAGTTTGATGAATTATTGCCTGTTGCTGAAACAGCTTTCTAAAAGCTGCTACTGATAAGATTTTCATCTCACCATAGATAATGACTCTCTGACTAAATACTTGTCTACAGATGCTGTTCAGATGTTTTGTTTCTCGTTTTGGCTTGAAGTGTTGAATCTAAGCATCATCACACAGATTAAATGTGAGCGCAGCTTTGTATCCGTCAGTATTTTGCAGTATCTTGCACTGTAAATATGAGAATACAGTATACCAAAAGATGTTATTTTCAAAGAATGCCTTTTGTAAATATTTCATATAAGGTCATTTTTTTCTGATGAAGCTTTAAATAAAAAATCAATAAATAAAATCTATTTTTTAGCCACGCTGCCAGTGAGTGGACGGTAACGTCGGCCGTTGTCTCATGTATATAAAACATAGCCTACAATTCTCCCCAGTTGCATTACTACTGTTGTGAATATGGACAGCTGTACACATGCATTTGTTATGATTACATTAGGCTACTTATGATAAAATAATATCTAATCAACAGCTTTGCTAACACAGCCAAACATAAAGAAAGTGCAACAGCAGAAGACACAGCAAGCCAGCTACTATTAGAATACTTAGATGGATGTCTGTCTGCAGCCTTTTATTCCACAAAGCTGAACAGGCGTATGGGCCACAAAGTGAGAACTACAGAGGAACCTCTCACCCTATTAGAAGTCAGTGTACCATCAAATGGTGTTATTTTAAGGTAGAAAAGTTACATAATGTTGCTTTAAATTCATAACCAGTTTAAAAATGACGGAACATTAAAAGCAGAACAGCAGGTTTTAAGGGTGTTACATCTGTCTGATACGTGTTGTCTGTCACTATACGCCCTATGTTTCAAACTTTATGTCTACTGCTGTAAATCCAGTGCTGAGTTTGCTCTGCTTTCCTCTTTGAGCTCTGTATGTCTGATGGAATTCATAGCAGAGGAAGGTCTGAGAGAGCAAGGACAGACAATCCATGCAAACCAATGAATACAAATGAGAAATAAGTCTCTTATTCCATTTTTTCCTCCTTTTCACTCTTTTTCTCATTAGATTTCCAGACAGCAGTTCTGTCTGTCGCAGCACAATGTCTGCATCGTCACTGCTGTCTGGCTGGTCAGACACTGCTGACTAAACATTGACATTTTCATTATCAACAGCTAACGCCTAAGGAAAAACGGAATTATTGTTTGTACAGATATATCAGACTGTTGCCTTTTGTATGGTAATTTAAGTTTGGAACATCATACCTAAGGGCTTGTCTTATCATTATTGTATTACCTCAAAAACTAGATCTATTTATATCTATAGACTCATCATTTTATCTTTTCACGCTCTGATTATTGCAACAACACTTGCTGAAAGACTGTACTGCAACTATGTGTGACCACATTACACCTGTTTTAGCCTCTTTACAGTGTTATAATCTTATTGATAATGTTTAGTGCTGCTCATCCTGTCCTGTCGGGAGGGAGGAGCCCTGTTAAAGAACTTATTTGACAGGTTTCTTGACTTTAGTTTGGACACAGAAATCCTGGAGACATGTTTGGATGTTTACCTGCATCAGGGAAGCTCTGATGAAAGATGTAGCATTAAGCCAGCATTTTAGGAGCTTGACCCATAATGTATTATGTTTAGCTTTTGGTTAAGTTTATTTCGGTCATTTAATTTCTTATACAACTCAAATACACAAATAAAAAGGTTCAGTCATTTCAACTTATACAAAGCCTGAAGCCTTAACCCCTTACACTTTTACATTGTTGTTGACTTCAAGTTCAAAAAGTGCTCTTCAAAGAAAGATTATCCTATTATTTGTTTTACACTGTTAGCTCATAAATACAAACACAATCTTACCTTATTGAGAAAGTGCTGTAAATCTATACTTCTACCCTTTGATGCTGCACAACAGCCTGTGTAGGGTTTTTCCTCACTGAGTGCACAGGCAGGATTGTTCACACTGCGCCAATTTCTGGCTTAACTGGTTTACATGTAAATAAACCAGCAATGCTTCTTACACCAAACAGGACTGTGGGCAATGAATTACAATTACAAGAAATACTGAGCATATAGCACATAAGACCTTTTCACAGCCTCACACCTTGCACGGTATTTTACTGATATATGCAAAGGGAATGGATTTGATGGGTGTTTATAGTTTTGATTAAAGGTACGTCCGTCACAGTGGACGGAAATGTGATGTAATCCTCTAGAGGACACATTCATAACATCATATTTCCAGTGACCCGTCTCTTTGAATCTACCAAGCCTTGTAGACTGAATCACTGTCTACCCAGCAGGCACTGTTGCTGCCTGTCACACTCTATCAGCTCCATTTCACAGCCGTGTTTGTTTGCCTTCAAGAGCTGTGATGTTACAGAGCGTCATCCGTCTGTCGCAATCATCACATTCATTCGGTCTTGGGCAATCTCTGAGTGGAAAACACAGCATACACCAGGGAATCTGTGTATGTGTGAGAGAGTGTGTGTCATTATAGGAGACTTACTTCACAATAGTTTTGAGTTTGGTCCTTTGTAGTCGTGATGAGCAATTTTAAGCGTGTGAAATTTTCCACTACCTCTTATGAAAGACTGCCTGTTGCACCATTTCGACAATATTTGATAAAACTGTAACAGACACATCAACCAGGAGGACACAGAGGTCATCAAGTCCTCTGTATCTGAAGCAGATAGCATATGTTTTATAACTGAAGGTTATACATGAAGGGATTTCTGAAAGGGTCAGAGACTGTATAATTAAAAAAGGACGTAGTCTCTGTGACGTTACCTACAGGTTTTCTGAAGAGCTGTTGTAAAGCTCAAAGTGTGCTGGTTCTGGCCATCACCTAATCCAAAAAAGAGCAAATACAAGGACCTGAGGTGGGCTGGATGAAGCCTGGTTACTGTAACAGCACCCACCTGTCACTCAGCTTGGCCATGTCCTTACTTATATATGACTTTAAGACTTGCTATAATTTAAACAGGTGAGCTATATAAAAATCCACCCTCTGTGCAGTTGACATGTAGGGGGAATTTAGCTGTAAAGACCCAAATTGTTTTTTTTTGTACCAGGATGTAAACATGTTTATTTCTGTTGGGGATTTTAATATTGGGGTTTATGGAGACTGACCACTTCTGTAGCCAGCCTCAAGTGGCTGTTGAAGGAACTGCAATTTTGGCACTTTGGTGTTGGCTTCATTCATCTGCCAGAACTGAGGTTGCCAACTTTTTTGGACTAGCTCATTGTACATAAATAAATAAGTAGATCATAATGATTCAGCAACTAGAATTGAATTTATCTGGGAAGAGAGAAAGCTTTTAGACTAGTGGTTCCCAGCCTGGGATCATGACCTCTCAAGGGGTCTCAAACACTACACAAAACAATGTATATGTGACGAACAACAGTTTTTTATGGATAAAAACAGTAAAAACAAGACAATTTGATATTAAACTTGTCCAAATTAATAGAACATTTTACAGATGGTTTCCAAGTATCTTCAAAATGTGTGTGTTTTATTTCTGGCTACTAAACTCATACAACACTCAGGATTATCCACAATATTTTAATGTTTAGTTTCACTGACAAAATGACCAAGACAGCACGTCAAGAGATGACACCATCTGAAAGACTCCAGCCTAGAGTTCAGTTTATAGGAGCAATTTCCATAAAAGCACACAGCTAGTATTTAGCAACAAAGTGAGGATATTTACAGTCGTCCTTTGTTTCCAGGGTCTGCTTTTCAGTCTTCATTGACCAGATGCCAGATTCAATTCCACACTTCTCGGGATCACATGTTTGGTGCTTAGTGATATCTCAGGATTCCAGACTGTCCCTGGAGGATCCAGATACAGGGCATGAAAATGACCATGAGCCAAAGCTAACCGTGGCTTGGCACTGCAGGGCGAACTTGAGCAGCAGCAGCAGCAAACTAATCCAGGATAATTTGCTCTTTTTTCTTTGCCTATGAATAAATGAGGCTCAATATGCTGAAAAGAATAAGGTCTAGGTTTTTATCCAGCGTGATTTCTGACACACCATGCAAATTTGGATTTGGAGTCTCTCCCCTCCCATGTTTCCCCCTCTCTAAAACTTAATTGATCATAATATATTTACATTTTATTATAATAGAATGTTTAAAAAAAGTAAATGGAAGGTACAGTCAAGGCTTATACAGTATAGTAAAAGAAAAAAGAAAAAGGGGAGGAATAGTAAAAATTAGATTTGCAATTATAACATTTAACTTTGTAAATACTCTTTTTGTTGTAAATATGGGGTATTATTTTGGAAAAAACAACATTTGTGAATAATTTGCAAATATGTGTGAAGCAATTCCAAATGGATGGTTTCGTTTAATAATAAAAAGCCATATTAGGTATAAAGACTCTTCTTTGTCTAAGGTTATTTATTACTTTGTGGCTTTTCTTCAGATAAAGCACTTGCGAAAGAGATGAGTTGTTCCTCCTTCTACCAATAGATAATTATCAGCTGTTTATAAAGCTGTTGCATATGGTCTGTCTTACTTAATAAAAAGAAATTAAATAGAATTCAAACCACAAACTATTTGAATCAGTGGTTCCCAGCCTGGGGTTCGGGGCCCCCACTGGGGGTTGCCTAAGCTTTAAGGGAGGGTATCGAGGCCTTCTTGAGTTTAAGGGGGTGAAAAATTAAACTTAACTTTTTAAGATCTGAACTTTAACAGCCTGAAGACAGACTATATTCACAGAGCCTTCACTCTCTGATAAACGGCCTCATCCTGCTTTAGAAAAGTTCAAACAACTGAAGAGCTAATAGAACAATGGACAAACGTCGAGAAAACACTGAATTTATCAAAAAGCCTTTATCTAAAAGTCTATTGAAGTCTATTAAGTATGTATGATTGTTAAATATTAATACAGACAGAGAATTGTATAAAAAAGTCCCTCAGTAAAACTCATCAATATTCACATTCACAATCTGCATTGAATATAATATTAAGTATCCATAAAATATGTCGGTTTAGTCAGTGATAAAAAAAGGGAAATAGGGATTAGAAATGCAATAATAAGCATACTCAAAATATATTTTTATTCGATGTTTTGTTAATATTGATGTTACTTTTGAACTTTTCTTGAAAATATAAGCTTGTAACTTTACATGAAATAATAAAAGTAAATTGTTGTGTAATTTTGATCATTATAAGCTCAATTTTAAGATTTAATAACACAAATTATTAAACTACCCCCCCCCCCCC